GTCTGTCTGTCTGTCTGTCTGTCTGTCTGTCTGTCTGTCTGTATGTCTGTCTGTCTGTCTGTCTGTCTGTCTGTCTGTCTGTCTGTCTGTCTGTCTGTCTGTCTGTCTGTCTGTTTGAATAAATGGTTGACATTAATACAAATATTTAAAATATGCATAAATAGACAATGGGCTAATATATTATTACTATAGATGTATAATACATATAAATAAAAATATAACATAAAAATATATATTATAATAAATATAATATATATTTTTGTCTGTCTGTCGTTCCATCCATCCATCCATCATTTTTGTACCATTTTAAATGTCTTCACAGAATTGAATGTGAGCTATATATATATATATATATATATATATATATATATATATATATATATATATATATATATATATATATATATATATATATATATATATATATATATATATATATATATATATATATATATATATATATATATATATATATATATATATATATATATATATATATATATATATATATATATATATATATATATATATATATATATATATATATATATATATATGTATATATAGACTTTTTCTGATTCAAAAAATAACCAAATAAACTAGTATTTCTCATCTAGCATGCACGGACCTGCTTGGACAACACTAGAATACATCACACCCGGTCAGCCGGTCGCATACGGTCTACTCGCAGGAGTTCAAATATTTCAACGGATCCGCAGCTCAAATCTGATCCGAATTTTCCGCGTACGGAGATGATCGGAACTCCACGCAGCTCCCGCACTAATCTTCATTTGAAATGAATGACTTCCGGTCTGTCGCTTGTCGTGTGAAGTGGAAAGGAGGCTTTAAAAGTTTGTATGGGGTGTTGGAATTTTTTTCTTAAGGGGAGAAATGCCAGCGTGGATGAAGCTGTGTGAGGGGCCGTAAAAGCAGCACAATCAAGTCATATTTCCATCTGTTTCAAGCTATGAATATTTGGATTACTTATCAACAGAACAAAACAGTGATATGATCACAAACTGAGCACTTGCAGTCAATATACTTCACCCGCAGCTGTTTTTCAGTCATTTATAACCCTGATGTCCATGTCAGAGCTGTAATTCATTGATTTCTTTTATGGTCTTTTGGAGATTTAGTCAATGGTGAGGGTGTTATATCGGGTTAGATATTTGGTGTCATATTAAAATTTGCTGGTAGGGAAAATCTATTTGTTCACTTCTGCTATTTATACTTTGATTTGCATTTAAATTTATTTATTTTTTTCACTTTTCACTGCTAATAAGAATATAAACTGTATGAAAAGCACACAAAAAATACTGACAGTTATAGGTATTGTGCCTTGATATGGGGCAATGATGCTCAAATTCATCAATTTCCCCTTTCTGGCTGTTCTTTCTATGAATGAAGGGTGTAATGATAGTATCAGCTTCAATTTTGATTAAGTTATTTTCTAATTGGTTGCGTGTTATGTCGTGAATAAACCCCTGTAATGCATACCACAGTCCTTTTTTCTGGCTTTCTCGGATCTCTCACCTGTTCGCCAAAAATGACTATTTATATCCCTGGGAATGTCTGACATCAGCGCATACATATTGTAATAGACGTGCCAGGCACGAAAGCTTGACAAGCATAGCAACAGTAACTAAGGAGGGCAGGGCTTAGCAAAGGGTCAGTTGTTGAACCATTTAGTTGGAAGAGACAAACTACAAGCTTTACATGTTAATATCGATTTTATATTTAGGCTAGGAGAACACTAGCTAATAATATCCGTAATAATAACAGACTAAAACTAAATGTTTTAATTTCACAGGACCTTTAAAATCATTTAACTTTTACATGCAGTGCCATTCATCAGTGTCAATACCAAAGAAGTGGACCAATCGGAACAACTCAAAGGGGGGGATGTTTACAGTAGCAAGTTGGCATATCAACTGTTTTATTTGACAACAACATGGAGGAGACACTATTGCATACTACTCGGCTACATTATAAATTGCATACAACCCTGCTTTATAGTACATTAAAAACAGTATGCGAGCTGAGTATTATGTGCGAATTCAGCGGTATTCGAAAAACAGTATGCAAGAAGTACCCATCTGACCTACTACTTCCGGTGAAATTCTGAATTGTGCATTCAATGGATGCTACGCTATCCCATGATGCAATGCAAGATAATTCACAAATGGGAGTGAAGCAGCTTGATGGGGGTAGGTCTTGCGATAATTACAAATGGGAGATGTAGTGCATCCAGTCATACTACTCATATTTATACTATTGACCATTAGGGCCATGTGACCAATCAGAGCAAAATATAGTCATATGACCAATCAGAGCATAAGAGGCTCTCAGAGAGGCGGGGATTACAGAGACCAACTATTTCGTTAGCTGTTTAGACATGCACAGTAAGCAGTTGACCAATCAGAGCAGAGGAGGGCTATGTGACCAATCAGTGCAGAATAGAGTCGTACGACCAATCAGAGCAGAGGAGGCTCTCAGAGAGGCAGGGTTTACAGAGAGCAACCATTTCGTTTTGTTTTTTAGACATGTAGAGTAAGCAGTTGACCAATCAGAGCAGAAGAGGCTCTCAGAGAGGTGGGATTTCAGAGACCAACTATTTTGTTTTTTTAGACGCGCACAGTAAGCAGTTAACCAATCAGAGCAGAGGAGGTTCTCAGAGGGGTGGGGTTTATAGAGAAGAACCATTTCGCTTTTTTGGAACTGAATTGTAAGCAATTGACCAATCAGAGCAGAATAAAGTCATATGACCAATCAGAGCAGAGGAGGCTCTCAGAGAGGCAGGGTTTACAGAAACCAACCATTTCAACCAACCTGTTAGAAAAATGCTAATGTGGCAGTGGATAAGTCAAGAAAATGAATGTGTTTTTTTTTTCTTCCCTTAATTGCATTTAAACTTTTAGGAGGCCTTTAAATAATATGACAAACCTTTAAAATCCATAATAGGGGCACTTTAATGAAACTGAATATTGTCTGTCAGGCCAATTAGATTAGTTATACAAACAACAGATTGCTTTCTTTATTTTTCACACTCTCCGAGAAGTAAATTGGTTCAGTTTTATTAGTTATTCACCATCCTGAAATCAGCCTCATCGATTATGTTCCAGACAGTCATTAGTTTTCTGTTCTGCTCGTCTCGTCTCTGCTATTATGCACCCGAACACTCTGACTCATGTCTGTTTTTTTTTTCTGCACGCAGGGCATCGTGGGAAACCTGTCCAGTGGGAAGTCGGCATTAGTTCACCGGTATCTGACAGGAACATATGTCCAGGAGGAGTCGCCTGAGGGTGAGTGAACAGCGGGACGCTCAATACAGAGTGTTTGTCAGGCCGGTCACCCAACAAGACCCCCTGCCGTGTTTTGTCACGTATGCTCATCTGCGCGCCGCATTCATTTGTTTATTTTTAGATGAACAGATTATTGTGGCTGCTAGGTTGAAAATTCAAGCTTCAGAAGTGAGGTTAGAACATTGTAAGTTAGAAAATCAGATCATTTATTAACTTATGGGGTAAATTTAAGATATAGAAGCAGTAAACATTGATTTTCATGTTGGTTATAGGTCGGGTGCACTGATCTCGATACTTGGTCCAGATATCGGTTCGATACTGCTTATTTTGCTGGATCCGCTATCGGCTATTTATACACTCTAAAAAATATTGTTTAGACCATACAAAAAAAAATAATAATAATTACGCAACAGTTTGCATCAATCTATTTAGGTTACAACAACATCTAACAAAATGAAGTTCAGACAACAAACTTTGTTATGTTAGCCAAAAGGCCTTTTCCTCTTCACTTTTACATAGCATAAACTCCATTTTTTTAAGTTGAGTACTCAAAAAATTAAGTTGTTTCAACTACTTTTTTTTTTATTAAAATGTAAAATAAATCCAGTGTTATGTACTTAATTCACATAATTATACATGCAGGTTATCAAGTTTAGAACATCCAATATATTAAATACCTGAAATTGTTAATTGTATTTTTTTAAATTTACTGTTCATATAGCTGCTTGTAACAAACACATTCAACAACAACATTTTTCTTTTCCAGTAATTTTTTTATTTGTTTTAAACCACAGTCTTCTAGTATTTTACAAAACAAAACTGAGTACTGTCTCATATAAACAGTATGAAAAATAACAAAACACATCAGCTTAAAAATACAAAACAACATGAAGTGCAATATAAAGAGCACAATCTACTCTGAAATAAGTAGAGACCTCAGAAAATAATGTTCTTGAGATGCATTACTTTTGCACTGGGCTTTAGTCCATCAAGTTCGAGAAACTTTTCAATTTAAGTTCCTTGAGGTAGTTCAGATTCAGAGTATATATATGCCCATCAGTACAGCACCTTGAGATATCCATTCCATTTAGGATTCTCATGCCTTCAACTATGATGGTTTCCGTCTTGTGGTTCAATTCCAAAGTAGACTGATCAGCAATAATGGCAATTGTCATTACTTGCCTCCTCTTTAAGCTCCTCATCATTAAGGTGCTCCTCAAATTCTTGTGTATTCTTGTAAAGCAAAAAAAAAAAAAAACTTTTTTGAGTCAAAAAAAAAAAAAAAATCTGCTACCATCAACTGTATTTACCAGGAGTAGCCAACACTCCAGTAGAATGGAAAAAAAACTTATTTGGAAATTAAGTTAAAGTCAGATATCTCACCTTAAAATGTCATTTGTGCCAAACAGTATACCTAAAACTTGTCCAGACTTGCTTCTTGCTTGTTCAGAGGGGGAGGAGCTTTGAAATCAAGAACTCCATTTTTGCAGAAAGATTGAGCTATCAACCCAATTTCTTTTTGTTGCTACTAGTTAAATGTTGTTTCAAACTAACTGACAGACATATTTACCTTTAAATTAGCTGCATGTTTTAGTTGATGTAATTAATTGTTCTGAAATTATATATATATATATATATATATATATATATATATATATATATATATATATATATATATATATATATATATATATACACACAATTATTTTTAAGGGGTTTTCACCTTTATTGAGATAGGACAGTAGAGATTTTATAGACAAGAAAGTGGGGAGCAGAGATAGGGGAAGGATCAGTGAAGGACCTCAAGCCAGGAATCGAACTCAAGTCGCCGTGAGCACCTTGGTGCTATGTCAACCATTCACCACTTGGCTATTGGCTCTGACTCTTTGGGTTTTTCTAAAATCTGGTTCAACTCCATGTCAACAGCTCCATTAAAGAATATTATTCCCAAAAAAAAACATGACATGTACAATAGTTATTTTCCCCGCTGTATATGCACAAATATATTGTTGTTAAGCATCTTATAGAAAATATTCATTTAAAAGAGAGACCTATGAGGGGTGTACTCATACATGCTGAGCACTGTATTCATTGTTTTTAGTCCCCGAAAGCTGTTAACACTTGAAAACGAATGTCCATAATGCATAAAACTGTTCAATTTTAGTTGAAACTGTACTGTACAATGAAAGCATATTAAGTTTCTCTGCGCTTCACTCTTTCATTTCATTATTAGATGTGGACACTATTTATTTAAACCTGCAATTTGATGGCCAAATTGTATAAAAAGCAGGTGAAATATTCATGTGGCCTGGTGAGTTTTGTCGTTAAGCACATTGTATTTCTCTTAAAGAAAAAAGACGATCGGGAGCCTGTTGGGACTTGTTTTGAATGCAGCTTTCGCAGTTCTGGCTAATTCAGTCTGATTCTGTGTGGCCAGACTGTGCTGCTGCTCATTTCTGATGCAGTGAGAGTTGCGAAAATCAATGAATTGCTGTGGGATTGCGAGACACACACACCTGCGTATGAACATCAGAAACTAAATAAAAGCATAGTTTTTTCTTTTGTAATATTAGAAAAGATTTCATAATTCAGCAACTAAATATCTTTTTGAGATTCTATTATAACTTGCATCAGGGCTGAACAAAAGCACACGCAGAAGGGATTGTTGTTGTTGTTGTTGTAGGGTTAATTAATTAGTTGTAATTAAAAATAAATGCCTTTCATGTTCTGAAGTAAAGCCTTGTGCACCCTTTTGACTTAATCATATTTTGTGCAAACCTTAATACATTTCTATCTGTCTATCTATCTATCTATCTATCTATCTATCTATCTATCTATCTATCTATCTATCTATCTATCTATCTATCTATCTATCTATCTATCTATCTGTCTGTCTGTCTGTCTGTCTGTCTGTCTGTCTGTCTGTCTGTCTGTCTGTCTGTCTGTCTGTCTGTCTGTCTGTCTGTCTGTCTGTCTGTCTGTCTGTCTGTCTGTCTGTCTGTCTGTCTGTCTGTCTGTTTGAATAAATGGTTGACATTAATACAAATATTTAAAATATGCATAAATAGACAATGGGCTAATATATTATTACTATAGATGTATAATACATATAAATAAAAATATAACATAAAAATATATATTATAATAAATATAATATATATTTTTGTCTGTCTGTCGTTCCATCCATCCATCCATCATTTTTGTACCATTTTAAATGTCTTCACAGAATTGAATGTGAGCTATATATATATATATATATATATATATATATATATAATCTTACTTTTTCTAAACTAATGTATAGAAACATTTTTTTTATATGTACACTCACCTGCCACTTTATTAGGTACACCTTTCTAGTATCAGTTTGGACTCCTTTTGCTCTCAGAACTGCCTTAATCCTTCGTGGCATAGATTCAAAAAGGAATTGTAAATATTCCTTAGAGATTTTGCTTCATGTTGACATGATAGCATCACGCAGTTGCTGCAAATTTGTCGGCTGCACGTCCAAGTGGCGAATATCCCGTTTCACCACATCCCAATAGTGCTCTATTGGATTGAGATCTGGTGACTGTGGAGGCCATTTGAGTATAGTAAACTCATTGTCATGTTCAAGAATCCAGTCTGTGATAATTCATGCTTTATGACATGGTGTGTTATCCTGCTGGAAGTAGCCATCAAAAGATGGGTACACTCTGTGGTCAAAAGGGATGGACATGGTCAGCAACAATACTCAGGTAGGCTGTGGCGTTGACACGATGCTCAATTGGTACTAATGGGCCCAAAGTGTGGCAAAAAAAAAAAAACATTACACCACCACCACCAGCCTGAACCGTTGATACAAGGCAGGATGGATCATTCTCTGTAAACCCTAGAGATGGTTGTTCGTGAAAATCCCAGCAGATCAGCAGTTTCTGAAATACTCTGACCAGCCCATCTGGCACCAACAGCCATGCCACGTACAAAGTCACTTAAATCACCTTTCTTCCCCATTCAGATTTGATATTTATTCATTGGGATAAACCCCTTGAGATGTACCATCTCATTTTCAAGGGGGTTCCACAATTAATCACTATCACATAATAACAACACAAGAAGACAAAACATAATTTACACAACATCCAAAAAACATGACATAAAAAAATTAAATAAAATAAAGTAAAAGAAAAGAAAAGAAAAGAAGGGAGGTGCTCGGATTAAACTGCAGCAGATCGTCTTGACCATGTGTACATGCCTAAAAGCAGTTGCTGCCATGTAATTGGCTGATTAGAAATTTGCGTTAACGGGCAGTTGGTCCGGTGTACCTAATAAAGTGGCCGGTGAGTGTTTATTTGTGTATATTATTATTATTATGATTATTTTAATTTATTAAAATGTCATTTTAAATGTCTTTATTTTTACACAGTTTAATGTGTCCTATAGCAGCATCAACTATTTCTTTAAAAAAAATGACTGATCCCAAACTAATGTACAGAAACAAAATACCGATGTCATACTCTACTTACACTATGCAGAACCTATACTGAAATATCTCAGGACTAAGTTAACTTTACCATGGTAAATGTTTCAAAAGGGACTGAATGATTACTATATTCATACGCACCAGTATTTACAGAACATTTTAGTACCGTAAAGAGATTTTCACAGCATTGTAATGTAATAAATGTCAGAAAAACAATGGCTTTAGAATATCTCTTTAATAAAAAAGCAGTAATGAAGAACTTTCCTCAGACTCTGTTCTCCTCAGTCTGACATTTATATTTCTGTAGTATACTTGCACACATCTGGCAGGGAAGCAATTACAACTAACAAGTGATTTTAGCAATTGTTATTCATATGGCATGAAGCGTTTGCAGACGTTCGCAGGTTTATTAAACGCCGCCTGATTGAAAGTGACCCTAATTTCTCCTAGTCTTCATTTGTTATCTGTCGTGGGCTCCTGCAGTTTCCATGCTGATGCCCCGCCTCTACGATTGCTCCGGTGTTGCTATGGCAACAGA